CTGGTATTAGGTACATACACACGCCTCCACGTATAAATCAAGGTGCAACGTGCTATACAGATGCACAGGAGGAAAAAATCCCTACCTTGTCCTATATTACACATTAAGTGCTTCTTTTGATCACAAAATAAATCACAAAACCTATTGAAAAGCCAGCACTTCTCTCTCTGTCAGATAAAAGACATTTCACTGTAATTAAACTTCTGTCCAACTTTCCAGAAGATTAGGGGAGAAATTCTGACAGGCTCCATTTATATTTGTGACTGACGCTCTTTGGGATATGCAAGGAAGCGAGGAGATGGGCAGTGGATTTATGACACACTTCTGAGCTAACAGCACTTGTCGAGATGGGCAGCTCCTAGCTTATTATCACTCATTTATTGTTGTTTAAAAAAAACAAAAAAAAACACTGCCTAATTCAAAACCATTTTCTGTTCAGTTTGCCATCTATGTTCCCCAGCCTTCAATGCTTTGTTTTTTATTTCATTTTTAAGAGATAACACACATAGCAAGTTGTTTGGGTAAATCAGCTTTACATGTTTAATAAATGTGGTTAACAAACACATCTCTGAACAGAGCTCTGTAGGCACTTGGAGAAGGGAAATATTTTTACAATCATATTCTAAGTATTCCTTTTCACATATGAAACTATAAGTCAAAACCCACAGCTGGGTTTCTGACACTAGGTGACAGGAATAACACTCCAAGATCCTTTGCTGCTTTTCTGTTTTTCTTCTCATGCTCTTCATTCTGTGCAGGATACTGTCATTACCAATGTGTTTCCTTGCATCTGAGTTGCTACAAGACACCTCAACAGTCCAAGGCTGGTATTGCACAAAGACAGCAAGAGCAAAATTAGAAAAAAAAAAAAAAATACGTGATCACACTGGGAGAAACCATAAGTAGCCAGATGATAGCTCCCCAAAATCAATTTTTCAGAGCCCACCTTTCAGAGTCGAAGCAAGAACTCCCAATAGGGAGGACCCAACTCAAACTGTAAGCAGAGTCACTCCATCATGCTTAGCCACCTCAAAGGACCATAACGATAGGAAGGACCGTTTTCCTCTCACACTTCAAACTCTGGAACCCTTTGCCATGAAATTTGTTTGAGAAAATTTCTCCAGAGACTTTAAATATCCAGATAGGATGTTGGAAAAATAAACATGCAACTTTTCATACTAAAAGCATAAAACAAACACTTTAGTATCACTACTACATGATTTTTCCATAAGACAAAAGCCTGTAGCTTTTTTTGTAGGCTCTCCATGACATAAGCTACAACTGTCATCTCTCCCTGAAAAAGAATACTGCAATCCAGCAAGCCTATAACATTACAAACACTTTTCCCCCCAGAGCGTGAAGCTAATGAAGGGCATTGCAGTGGCCGCATAGTTAAACTGACCCACTAATTAAACACCTTTCCTTCGTTACCTTCTCATAAGCTCCAGAGCAGGTACACTTCAAGCTATGAAAGTGGTCCTAAGCCTTTAAGGCCTTCAAACCTTTGGACTGTTATCTTTATTCTACAGTTATGGAGCTCCACAACACTTCCTGCTGTTACTGCTGGAAGTATAAATTACTCTTTGTACACAACCTGTAGCAATACACTCCGAAACAGCAGTGAGATGCCATCAGGCGGTATTAGTGGCACTTTCAGCTACGTTACTCAGCAAAACTGACGGTGGGGAGAGGAGGGGTAAATTGCTGCTGCTGCTGCGTTCAGTGGAATAGCGATCCTCTCCCTCTTTCCCACGTAGCACCACGGGAAGGTTTTCCTCCCTAGCAAGCATAGCAAGCTCCGAGGGAGTCTACACAATTCAAACATATAAACAACCACTGTTAAAAGAAATTGATTTAAACCTACTGTTCAGGAAATTCAGTCCTGTGGTTCTGTGCCTAAAAGCATCCGATCTGAGTAATACAGCAAACATGATATGCATCATCATTCGATCTCTGGGAGGCCTTCAAACACTGGCAATTGCACAGGCTACACACACACAGATTGTGCTTCAAAACCCAAAAAACAAGACGAGTTAAAAAAAAAAAAAGAAATCAATGCAAAGGCTGAGTTGTCACGTAACCTTTTTGTGGTGTGATGACCTTTTATTGCCTTTTAATAATGGAAATATTGGCACTACAGAAGCATATAATAAACAGACAGTAGTTCAAAAGTATGAGACAAAATAAGTTTAGTCAGTTTAGTGAAGCCATATGCCATTCACAAAGCCTTGTTATTAGTGTGTTTGTACCCGAAACGCCTCCTCTCCAGATCACCTAAAGTACATTGAGAAGCAGCTGAGCTCTCCAGTTTTGCAGAACTGGACGGGACCTCACGTAGCAAATTGTCCCCTTGTGCCATCTTTTCCATACCTGGTCTGTTTTCTGGAGCCGAGTCCTGTCCCTATTCTGCTACGTTAGCAATTAGCTCCTATCTCACTAGCAAGCGCCTCTCCCCATCAAAAAGAAATTGGGGACTATCTGCCAGGTTGCAAGACAAACAGTAACTGGCAAATATCCACCACAGTCACTAAATAACAATCCGACTGCAGCGTAAAGACGGGGAGAAAGACTATTCAGCTTGCAAAAAGCCCTTCAGGCACTCCTTCCGCTAGGTTTAAAAGCCCAGGGATGACCCCAAGTACGTTCATTGGGCATAGACTGCATACACAGACTGGCCATTTGAGGGAGAGGGACATAGGCCCAGCGAGAGTTTGCTAACGAGCTAGTAAAGCCTTAGACACCCCACCCCTACCCTGGGCTGTTGCTCTAAGGAGAGCGCCACAGGCGGCCTAAACTGGCACGGACCATCTTTAACATCACACTCCAACCTCTCCTACTAAACACCGCATTTTGCACTGTGGCCACAGGTAAGCCAGGCCTATCCATAATTCTTTACTTCATTGCCCAAAATCAAATTCAGATGCCAACTTTGTTAATTATTTAAAAAAAAATCATCAAAACTGTTAACTTTAAGGAAGAAAAAAAAATCTAAGCTTCTTACAGTAGGTAAAAACTCCTATTTTTGTATTGCACTTAGCTCTATACACATATAACCATCAACTTTAGAAATCAAGCCTAGGAGCAACAGTACTGAAGACAAAACACATTTTCACTATGGGCAAAAGAACTTTTAGTTGAGAAACAATAAAAAAACTGAATAACCGCTGGGCTCAATCACTAGAGGGAGTCATAATCACATATTAAGTTGCTGTAATACATAGACCATTTTCAACACTATTATGAAACAAAAGAGAAGACCATCCACTGAATTGGGATGTCATTCAAAGAAAAAGAGAAAATTAGATTTGCTTCTTTAACAAGGTTTTATTTCCAAAGACTCAAGACTTTCTCCTGGGAACCTTCAAATAATCTGTAATAGAAGGTTTTAAAAATGTATCTTATTGCCTACATTTTAAGACAGAATAAGGTACGTGACAGAAGAAAGCTGAAATTGTCAGTTTTGGAAATGACACATACAGCATCGCACCAAGAAAATGTTAGAATTTTAAACAGCTTTACGGCCCATTTCACTTGAAATCAAAAAGTTATCTTAATCATGTTTTTATTTTTAAACTAGATTGGCACAATTACATCCAGCATGAACAGGCACTACCAAAAGGCTGCTTTTTCAACACAGACAACTCCCCCTGGCTATTAATAAATTCAGCAAAAGCATTTCTCTGACAGGCTGCGAGAGGCAGCCTGCAAAAACCAAAAATCAATAACTGTTAAACTTTACCACCATCCTTTTATTTGGTCATTTGATCAACTGTGGGTTTGGGGGTTTGCTTGGTTTATTTTTAATATATGAAATGTCTTTTTTATATTGCTAGTATTTTTTTCCCCATTTAAGCTTCTTCGCAAAAACCACAAAACAATTTAGCTGGCTGCACTCATGGGAATTTACACTTGGCTAACAATTTTACAACTGCCTAAACTGTTTCACTAACAGTAACAGCAAACTCCAAGCTTTAAACAGCTCGACTTCTGCTCATCATTGGTAAGGCAGAGCCCAGAGAAGACTCATCTCTTGAGCCAAAAATCTACCACGTACTTCAGGAGATACAGTAGCAAATGCAGCACAAGGTAAACTAAGAAAGCTTAACCAATGCTGAATTGCACAGTACTTGACCGCTTTGCGTTCCACATGTTTATACCAAAGCTGGAAGTGCTGCACATTTCTGTTGCTTAGAGAAATCGGCTAACACCTTGGCAACGCACGCAGCCTTTTTGGAAGATAGACGTGTTGCTTTTCAGAAGAACAGACAACCTTTTCCTAATGCAAGGAAATAAAAGTGGGGGAAACAAGAATATGTGCACCGAGGATGAGAAGCGCTTTCTGGCACAATATGCAACTGTGTTAAGAAATCTTATGTGTACCCAACGCAGTCTGGAAAGTTAAGCTCTAGCAGACAAATTAATTTGCCTTATGAGATATTCACTCCTACGCTAGGACAAAAGCTTAGACACCCTCTAGTTGTACCAGAATCTAGCCAGCTCCAAACACATACCCTGCTCTATTTAAACAGACTGCTCCTCCCAAAGTCTAACAGTACTGTACCACTGAAATCGGAAACGTACTATCCCCCCCCATCTCTATAAACTGATCCTCTCACTAGCCAAATAACAATCCTGAGGGCTCTTACTCCCTTCCCACACCCAGGTGACTACTTTGCACGTTCTGCTTTGATATTCCCTTTCCAGATGAGATAGTCTGGGAAAGCAGCTTACTTTCCCTTGCAAACATTTCAGCTCATAAAATAAAGCTGCATAAACTGTTCACTGCCTCCTCCCACAGTTCATCTTTTTCTTCCTGCAAGGATTTAAGCAAGCAAAAACTCATCATCAATATGGGAAAGGCAGTGATAGTACAGAAGGCTCCTTGGAACAGCAGGGAAATCTAAAGAGCCATCCTCTCAGGCTGCAGTCCTTATTTTCACTCTATATGTTTTAATACGACAGCATCTTGCTGCACAACATCCATTATTGACATCACTTACCTGTTTGTGATGGTGGAGTTCTGTTCTTTCAGCACAAGCTCCCTTTGTTGCAGAGCCACAATTTGCCTTGAGAGATCATCAGGTGTCCTAAGCAATTAAAAGAAAATTGAAACTTTTAATAAAATCAGTAGTTAAAAGATTATGCTCCATACATGATCGTAAAAAAGGCCTCACAAAGAAGCAGACAAAGCAACTGCACCAGGCCAAAGCTGTTGCAGTCCCTTAGAACAACACAGGGCTGCATCCTGTCCGGCATACATAAAAGCCTATTTTATTAAAGCCATTGCTGTATACTGTAATCGCCATCCAACCCACAGCATCTCACCACTATTCGCTGCAACCCATAAACCAGCTCTAAAGCCTTAGTGTCAGCAAGACCAAATAAAATCCTCAAAGTAAGCAGCATACATAAACATTCATACCGGCTGAAGAGGCAGCTTATCACTTGAAAGCCTTTTTCTTTTTTTTTTTCTTTTTTTTTTCTTTTTCTTTTTTTTTTTTTTTTAACTTATTCATAAGGACAGTTCACAATCTCCTCCCCTACCTAGCACTCAGCACGAACACACAGAAATGAGCAGGCCCAGCGTTATTCCAACTGCTACTCAACTACAGAGCCTCAGTGCAGCTGCCATCACAGGATCGCTACCGAGAAGGTAAGACGAAGACGAAGTAAACGTACACGTAGGCTCTACAGTTCAACAGTTCCGGCTGCGGACGAATAACCTCTGACAGCGCACAGGCTCAGCTATACCACGGGCACTCAGAGCAGTGTGCACACAAGTACAGTTCCCAGTGTGTTGGGTTTTTTTTTTTTTTTTTTTTTTTTTTTTTGAGTCCTTCATATAGTGACTACAGGGCCACTGAAAAAAGATCCAAAAGCTCTGGATACCACTTTGAATACCACTCTGATGATAGCCTTCTTGTCAAAGGTATCTATAGATCCCCTAGCAACGATCCTGGAGATGTCAGGAACAGATTTACTTTCCATCAAGGCCAATGACTGACTCTGAAACCTAGTGCAATGGGATCAAGATAACTCTACTTTGGCAGTCCCAGAAACCACTAACCCACACCAACAGCCTCTGCAGGGAAATGGCCGTCCTTTTCAAAGACTTCTCTTTAAATCACGAGCGTAAAAGAGGTTCAAGTCTAGATGAAGGCAGCTTACGGAAAAACCCATATGATTTCACATCTTAAACCTGATTTCAACATGGAGAGTCCTGGAGACTTTAGCTGTCAAGTTAACAAGGTTCTGAAAAATGCAATTCTAAGCAGCTCATAATTCACCCAAATATAACAAATTTAATCACAAGGCTAGTATCAGACACATCTCTTCTGCCATGTTGAGCGCCTCCCCCCCAGTAGAACTGTCTGGTCCCTGCGTCAGTGAAATATAATTGCACAGATTTTTACATGGGCAAAAAAAGTATATTTGCCTCAACTTTATTCTCAGAGTCTCAGAAATCTGTGCCATAGTGCATTAGCCCTGAGAAAGAGAACTGAAACTAATCCAATAGTGAAATGAGATGGTATCATAAAAGCCATAGATTTCTAGTAATGACAGTTACTGACCAATTTCCAATAAAAAACAATCATCCTCATCTCTTTGGCAATTCACATCAACGATTAGTTTCAGCAGTTGGCAGCTTTAGGTTTGTACTTATTTTTGGAGGATGTTTTATTGGCGTTAGATACTTTTTTAAAAAGTGGAGTGGCATGGATGCAACAGGAAACTAAGTCAAAGGGTTTCAACCCCTGCTAAAGAAGAGTTAACTTTCTGTAAAACTAAATTGTGTCACATGCTCAGAGACACAGACTTCCCTTGCATGCCCTCTGCTATCAAATACCTTTATTGAGACGTCTACATCCCATGCTGATCACACAGCTTGGCAAAAGTCAAACTTCTTCAGTTCCAAGTAGAGAAATGCCTCTGGATGATGCACAATGAAATTAAATCAGATCAGCTTTCGATTTGAAGAGAACTGGTCAAGCTCCCCAACCATGACAAATACTAGCCAGCCCTCATTGCTGTAAACAGCCACCTCATTTCAGAAGTTTCTGAAAACAACGGCGCATAAAGAGATAACTTTGTGAGCATCCCAACATGCACTTAACGTGTTCTGGCCTTGGGAACATCTGTCTGATGGGCTAGCTGTACATGAATTTCGCTAAAGCTCCATCCATTTCCTATTAAACAGTTGATATCAAAATTAGTATTAAAGAGCCAACAAGTCTTCCATCAGAGAACGTGTTTGACAACATAGCTCCCCAATGCTGCTCAGATCACCACTGCTTCCCTCCTCGAGGGAAGTTTGAAAAACTCTACCCTCCCACGAGTACACCTAGAACCTGCTTTGGGAGCAGCTGCTTCTTCATGCACTGCTAGGATGTACCCTGCAAACAGCTTCCTTTGCCATGTGCTAATGGAGCCCATGCAACCACAGAAAAAATAATAATAATTAAAAAAAAGAACCTATGTTTGCATCAGCTGCGTAAAATCCTCTATATGAAACTACGCACGCACACATACTACGATTCAAGGGCAGGATGTTACTAAAACTGAATCATATGCTCTGTAATTATAAAGATAATATGAAAAGCAGACGATACGAAGTGGCTTCCAAAGCGTGAATCTAGATGAATCACTTAACTCCAGTTTCTCTCTCCTGGGTAAAGCACAAGGAACCAAAGCTAGAATCTTCTTCCTCTGTCCCATCAGCCCACCTTGAGACCCTATTTCCTTCTACAACAGCCTTTAAACAAAATCTTCCTTTCCAGGATCTCAGAATAACCAAACAATTAGGTGAGCATTTAATACTCATTTGGAAAAAAGTTTTTTTGCCCTAAAGGTGCAAATTAGTCCAGCAAAGCTTAGGAGCAGAGTAAGGCTGAAGATGGACAAAATTACTGTTCAACAAAGCTCTTTGACTTCCTTTGAAGTGCAGATAATTTGAAAAAGAGCAATTTAACAGCAATAAAACCCCTAAAACTGCTCAAATGAAGAGAAAAAATTAACTTAATGGGATGCCCAACCAAGTTATTCAGCTTCACGCAATGAGTCTCAAGCCCCCACTGGCACACTTTACAACTTTTAACATGAAAAATGGCTTATGCTTTCTTTCTTTCTTTTTTTTTTTTTTTTTTTAAATGCACAAAACTGGCATTTTACAGACATTTGCTAGAATGCTTGGTTGGGCTGTCTTAGTTAAGGACTTATTAGCATTCCATTATAAACTCTGACAGTCTTAGAATTAGCTCTTGAAGTAACATTAAGCCAAGACACAGTAAACAGCTGAGAATTTTTAAAGTAAAAATTGGATTATTTTGTAATTTATAATTTATTAGAATGTCAACATCTTATTGCTTCTATAAAATGCTTCAAAATTTACAGCAAAGGAAGAGATCTGATTTTAGTTAGATCTTTGACGTTAATTTTTAGCTATGGATCTGGAAGACAAAAGACTAAACAGAAAAAACAAGCAACCAACTCTGTTTTTTAAAAAAATTGTTTGAAACTACCAAACTAATGACATACACGTAATACTAAATTGCTCAGAATCACCTATTTTTGAAAGTCTCTGAAACTAGCACATCTCTATATAGTTTTAACTCAGTATGAATATACAAAGAGATACAGATTTGTGTGTCTCAACTAAGTCATATTAAACCGAAATGGAACGTTCCCACATTTTTGGCACCGCATTTTAGGTGGATCCAAACTGTTTTAGACTTGAGCATAATTAACAGACAAAGACCAGAAATAGAAGCCTTTACTGAAGTGTGTGTTAACAAGAATCAGGCACAGAAAGGGAAGGCACAGCTGCCTGCCTCTCTTCAATCCAAAAAATTCTCCTTCCTCCTTTTAAGGCAGCCTCCCAAAAACATAAAATCTGGGGCTTGCCCCTTATCCACTTCTGCATGATGCGCAGAAGCGCAAAAAGATTCAGAGTCTCCTCTCTCTGAACAGGGCCTTCTCTATTTTTAAACAAGAATTTCCACTTCTTTTAAGGCTGGAGGACAAGAGCATCTGAAGAACGTACACAGAACAATAACATGACAAAGAGGGAGGCGTTCTGGAAAGGTATTTTAGTTGTTTCAAATATCTCTGTGTGACTAGAAAGAGTATCTACAATAGTTTCTTCATGTACGTTTGAAGGCAGTCCCCAGATGGCCTTTTGGCGTAGCTGAGCTACACAACCACTAACTCCTGTATCGCTGGTTTGCAGGACCCCTGCTTATTTCTCATGCTTCACCAGCATGCAAGTCCAGAAGCAGTTCAGCTCCTGTGACGACTTATCCTCCAGGGATGTAGGGCGCACAACCATAATCACAACAGTACATACGGACTTTCCAAAATATGACTACACAGAGTCTTTAAGTTTAATTTGGTCACGCTAACTCTAAGTGTATATCAGGAAACGGTAACTTGCAATACTGCATTCCCCCTAAATATGTATCAGCTCCCTTAACTCCCCTTTACCACGCTAAAGGAAATCACCACCACTAAAATCTGGCCTGGGAGATCTGGAGTTTCACCCCAGTGCTTCTTCCTTAGCCAAAAAGCCCCCTCAGGCTCCAGGCCAGGCACTCGCACCAAACCGCCAACGTTGCAGTGCCTGTACTGCCCCTTCTACTGCCGACTACGTTACAGCGAACCATACGGTAAGGAATCTGCTGCACACACTGTTCGCAAAAATAATTAAATTCTTCTGATTTCCTAGGCAATTAGGGCACATTCAGTGTGTGGTAACACTTTGATTAAAAATGTTTTGAAGAGCAATCATTTACCTTTACTCATTCAAACTGAGGTGCTAAGAGTTGGCAAAAAAAAAAAAAAAACCCACACACTAAGGTATATCTTATACTGTTTCTCCAAAAAATTGCAAGCTCAATATTCTACGTCAAAAAGCAAGAAGTGAAGTGTAAAAAGAAAGCAACTGGCAATATCTCAGCTTCTGAGTCTCCCTTCCTTTAGAAAATAAACCTCATATTTTTGAGCAGACAGAATCAACAAATTCAATTGCTCCTTACCAAAAAAAAAAGTCCACATTAAGCACTCAAAGCAGAACAACTCATTTGTAAGAAAG